TTCTGATGCCTACTTCCACTAGAAACTTCAGGTCTTTCTCAAGGTAAAGTGCCATATTTATTGTGATAAATAAAATATATTTTTTTTAATTTACTTTTTTTTAGAAATACAGTGTCCCAAAAAATGTATACAAACACTTCGAATAATTATAAAAGCAGTGCTTATATTAAATTACATTTCATTTTCCAAACTGCACTATCAGCTGTTAAAGTGAATATACATTTTTGGAGGGGACACCCTATATATATACACACACACACATACATATATATATACACACATACACACACACACACACACAAAACTGTGAAAGACTTTGCCACTACACACACACACACACACACACACACACACACACACACACACACACACACACACACCACTGTGAAAGACTTTACCACTATTTTTGTTAGGTTCCTATCTTAATGTTTCACAAAGTTCTTGAGAGTTGTAACCTTAACCCCTTTTCCCCAATGAGGCCAGTGTTTTCTACTGAATGATTTTGCATAGCGTGGTGATTTTTAGGAATGCACGTGCCATGTTTTGACAGAACTGAGCCATGACCCTAAAGCATTCTTGAGTTTCAGTGGGTTCAGGATTACCTTGGATGCAGCTTCATTGCTCTTCATTTTTTCTCTCAGAGTCTGCCACCAGCGACTCTCTGGAGGATACTGCCACGGTGTTTGGTCAAATTGTTCTAAAAGCTAAAAAACCACAAACAGTTTTTTTTTCTTCTTGAAAATAAACTTAAATCACAGTAACATACAAATCTCTTCTTAAAGACAATACTGCTATACTGACTGCTCTTCACATCACTCATACCCTTTGTTTTTCCTCTAGGTAGCACACAATTGATAGAAGATAAACAGGTGGCATGGAAAGCTTTTGTTTGGGTCAGTGCAGACTTCTGTCAGATGTTAGGATTCCCATATGCACAGTGAAGCGCCACCTCTCCCCCCCACCCCACTGGCTGGGGCTATTAAGCCCTCCTTGGGTCTTTGGCACTAGAAGGAAAGTCACCCCCTCCGGAAAATCCTTATAGGAAGGCCGACAGCCCCAAATACCTAGGGATCCCCATCATAAATTTTGTTTAAAATAGATACTATCAGATCTGTCATCAAGTAAATCAAGATTGAAACATTTTAAAGAACTGACTATTTTCTAAAGGCCAATCCACATAAATTAAAACCCAGGCAAAAGCACTTACCTGTTTAGTGACAGCATTTATATCTCCTAGCAAAGTCACAGCAGGTCTTACATTATTGCCTAATTCTTCTGCACAGATGTCAACCTACAGAGACAAGATTGAGGAGTAAGCTGTGTTTATTCTTTAATTGTTTAAGAAATCAATTAAGGCTGAATACACGAACTATGTATACAGGGGTGGGTCAAAGTAGGTAAGAACCCTGTGCCAAAGTGTGCTTGAGTATAGCAAGTAGACTATAAGCATGTGTAAATAGTGGAGGCCGGAAATGTGAGCAATTATGAGATTGTATCTCGGAGCACTGTGCTGCTGTGACAGTCTTTTGAGTTAATAAAGCTACTGTAATAATCATCACCTGCATGTTTTTTTCCTTATGAACAACTGTAAACCTACTTTTGCCAACCCCTGCACGTAGCATGATAAATAAGATTTGATGTTCAAGAAGTTCCTTAACAGAAGTAAAAATCCATGAACTACGCACGCATTGTAGCTAGTAGAGAAACCTCATCATTTCCCTCAGTTCTACTCTAAATTTTGGTATTGTTCCCGTACACCCATAGGAATACATTTGACTTGATCAATTATAGTTTTCAATCTAGTCAACAATAAAGTTCTACTTAATTAGAGTGGAATTCCTATTTAGAGCCGTTCTTAAATTTTAGCATATATGTATCAGAATCACCTGGTAGGCTTGTTTGTTAAACTATAAATTGCAAGAATCCACCTCAGAGTTTCTGATCTCAATAGGTCTGGGGTGAGGCCTCAAAATGGGTATTTCTAACCGGCTTCCCTGGTGGTGCTGAGGCTGCTGGTCCAGGAACATTTTAAGAATCACTCCTAGGGTGCTGGCCGGTGTGGCTCCGTGGGTAGGGCATTGTCCCATATCCAAAGGGTGCCAGTTTGATTCCCATTCAGGGCACATGCCAGGGTTGTGGGCGTGACCCCTAGTAGGGGGTGTGCAGGAGGCAGACAATCCATGTTGTGCTCTGACATCCATGTTTCTCTCTTTCCTTCTCCCTTCCTCTAAAAATCAGTTGAAATATTTTTTAAAAAATAGAAAAGAATCACTCCTAGCCCGTGGCAGGATTACTTCCCTTTTACTCAGAAGCTCCATTTCTGGATGGCCATGGCCAAGTAAAAATAGCTTGTCAGAAGGAGTAATTTAGCCACCCCAAAGGGCATACATACATTTTATTTTGCAATCAAGAGGGGAAATCAAAGAAGTGGCAGCATTTTCCAGGTATAACCCAAATCTTGTTCGTTTGTGGTTTTGTTTCTCAGTGGCCCTAGGGGGAGATGGACTATTAGAAGCTGCCTCCGGCCCAGCCGGGCACAGCTCAGCAGTTGAGCATAGGCCTAGGATCCAGGAGTTCAGGGTTTGATTCTGGGTCAGGGCACATACCCAGGTTGTGGGCTCGATTCCCAGCAGGGGGCATGCGGGAGGCATCGGATCAATAACTCTCTCATCACTGATGTTTCTATCTCTCTCTCCCTCTTCCTTCCTCTCTGAAATCAATAAAAATATATTAAAAAAATTAAAAATAGAAGCTGCCTCCATAAGTAAAAGGTAAATAAGATAGCAACGGCAGCTGGATCACCAGATACCATACACAATCTGTGTAGGGTGAACAGGTTTGCATGCCACTGTGTGGGTAGTACTCTCCACACCAGCAAGGAAACTAGCTTATAAAGAGGGTCACCATGACGTAAGAGTCATCAAAAGGAGGTCAGAGTATATCCTAAACACTGTTTAATGACACAGGTAAAAGCAGGGTTGTTCAGAGATTTCTAACCAAAGGGTGTTTGAAAGTTTGGGTATCTAAAAGAGCAACTCAATCCCTAACAATGCTGAATGTTTTGTTCTAATCTACCATCCTATTTCAACTTTTTTGTCTACTTTTAAATATAACTGAACTATGAAGAAGGGGCAAATTATGCTTTTTCAAACTATTTAAAACTTGACTTTGAAAGTTTTTCTGGGTAGAAGTGAAGCGGTACATTGTTTCATAGGCTTGAAAAGGCACCTTGCTTTGGTACCTATAATTATGTTAGACAATTTATAAAATTCTATGTTTGTAAAAAGAGAAATGGTTCTTTATAAAAGCCAAGAATAGAGCAGAGCCTATGATGGCTGAAAGGGAGAGCAATAAACTACAAATAGCTCTGATTTTCAATCTCTCTTCTCTGAGTACCTGGATAAACTTCACACCTGGCTGATATCTTGGAGGCAGTCCAAAATGCAATATCCAATTTAATCTGGCACCAAATAACACGATCACATCAGCAAGTTGCAAAGCCCTACTGAAAAGAAAAATCTGATATGACTAAAAAAGTATCTGTATTTGTTAACTGAATTATTCTAAAATTAGTTTCTAAAGTATTTGGAAAAATCTAAATAGTGTGGAACTTACATTAGTCTTCAGAATCAACTTCTATGGTAAATTTGACCTTTCAATCTAAAATAATTTATGAGGCCATTCTATTTAAATAGTAATATAAAAGATGAAATAAGTAGAAAAATATTACTGTAGGACTGTATCTATACTTATTTATTACTTTTTTATCATTAGAAAAATTAATACAAGTATACTGTAGATAATCTGGAAAAAGCAGGAAAATTATAAAGAAAAAATAAAAGCACCCAATAATACTGTAAACTTACAAGCTACTATTAACATCCTGGCATTATTTCCATTTAGTCTGTTTTTCTATGCAAGTATAGTCATACATAGTTGAGCTTATCTAATACTGTCCCGTGTACTTTTGCTTATATAAATGGTTTCCTTTGTCATTAAGTTCTTCTTAAATATGATTAAAGGTTACATGTTTTGCTGAGCACATATACTAAATTTCTTAAACCTTTTCTAGATTGCTGGATGTTTTCTTTGTTATTAATAGTACTGGGTTGCAAATCTTCATGCTTACATCTTAATACGCACTTCATATTGATTCCTAGAAGCATATATTTTTAAGATGACTGATTCACATTCCCGAATTGCTTTCAGAAAATATTATACCAAGAATATTTCCAATAGTTTTATAAATCTTATTTTTGTCATATAACTTCTAATTTTTAAGTTATTTTTATTTTGATATCCACACAGATATTAACACAGCCACCCTTGCTTTCTTTTTTGTTTACCTGATACACTTTTGCTTATTTTTATTTTGTTTCAGACGTGGTTCTTATAATGCGCGTAACTGTTATCATTAGTGATCCAACCTAAATGTTTCTGCCTTTTTCAGCAGAACTTATAATTGCTGTGGGTTGTGTGTGTTTTTAACTTCTTTTCTGCTTCTTGGCTATTTCCCTTTTTTCCTATCTTTTGCCATAGAGCATCTGGCTGTTTTGCTTTTGTCTTCTTTGGTGGTATAGCCATTTTTTATTATTTCAAGTATATACGCAAAAAAGCTATCTTCCTACACTGTACTGGTCCTGTGGACCCAATTTAAACAGATCTGCTTATAGATATCTAAAACTGCTGAAATTGTTGATTCAATTAATTATAGCCTCTTGTAATCTTTTTTACACTATTAATGTCATTAAAATTATCTCCTTAAGCCCAGCAGGGCTTGGCTCAGCGGTTGAGCATCGACCTAGGATCCAGGTGATAGGGGTTCGGTTCCCGGTCAGGGCACATGCCCGGGTTGCGGGCCAGCTGATCAATGACTCTCTCATCATTGATGTTTCTATCTCTCGCTCTGAAATCAATAAAGATATATTTAAAAAAAAAAAAATTATCTCCTTAAAATTCCGCTGGAACAAAGAAATTTCAGTTCAACCCAAGTAAAAGTATATATTTTTTAAAAACTTAGTGTGAGAATTAATTTTATTTCTGTACTATGTATACTAGTATAAAAAAGATATACTCTACTAAGATAGCATTAAGTGAGCAACAATTAAAGGTTGCCCAGCAAACACTACATTTTAAAAATCCTCAAAATTAATTTTAGTGCATGCATGACAATATAAAACATACCAAATGCATAATAGTGGTAAACTGTGGAGAGGAAGAGAGGGAATGGGATAACGAAAAATATGCATAAAGGACTAGAGGTAAATCTGTAATTTTTTGTTTCTTAAAAAAATAGAACCCTAAAGCAATGACATGTTACTTAATATTATGCTATGTTTGATAAAAGTAAGTAGTGGTTACATAAGTGTTCATATAAGTTATTCTTGTTTGTACACCGAGAATATTTCATAACTTTCAAGAAATTAATATATATATTAATTAAAACAAAAAGTGTGTTTTAAAAAACTAAAAAGAGGAGATGTCCAGTGCCAGCCCAGACTGGGTAAGCCCACTACAGCCTTGCTCTCCTACTAATTCCAACAGAAAACTCTTGAACAAAATAGAAAAGGCAACTACCTGAGGATTCTGAAAAGTAAACAGTAGTATGTGGACTGGGAGGGGAATCAAACTAGTGGCCCACACAAGGGGTGAGTTTCCAAGGTTCTCCTCTCCCTGCTCCCCCCATTTTGTATCTCCTGGCTTTGACCCAGGGCAGCCCCGGTTACAGAACTGGAAGGCAATGAAAACTTGTCTTTTTGGCTACACGATCTGGAAAAGGGACCTCGGTAAGCCTGACAACTCAGGGATTTCCGAAAAGCTCAGCATTTTCTTTTTCTCCTCTCCTCTCCCCCAGCTGTGCTCTGAGGGCAGTCCTATTGCATAGCAGCACTGTGGTAGCTCCCAAGCAGCTAAAATTCTAAGAAAAACATCATTTTTCAGGCAACAAGAACTGAAAGAGTCCCCTGTTGTCTGAAGAGTATTGGGGCAGTCCCCCTTATTTTTTATTGTTCTTTCTTTCTGCCACTTTGCCTCAGCAAGGGCCAGGAAAAGGGATTCCTGGAAATCAGAAGGGGAGAGGGACTACTTCCTACAGAGAAAAGAAATCCCTAATTCTGGATATGAACTGGCACATGTCTGGGGAACCCCTGGGCTGTGCATGTGTAGACAGACCCAAAACTGCATAGCAAAGGCTTTGTCACTGAAGTGACCCTGGAACTACTGCCCAAAGTAAGACAGGACTTGCAGCCTGAACATAACCATGCTAGCTGCTTTCTTAAAAAATTTTTAAAAATCAACATTCTACAGAAAATTTCAATATAGCCTGGCATCTCACAACATAATATTCCAAATTCCAGGTTACAATCCAAAATTAATACAAAACCACCCAGGAAAACGTGACCAATTCTCAAAAGAAAAGATAATGAATAGATGCTAATTCTGTGATGATATAGATGTTGGCATTAGTAAACAAAGACTTTCAAAAAGCTATCATAACTATGGGCAGAAGGTAAACAAAAATACTCTTCAAATACATGGGAAGATATACGTTTTCAGCAGAGAAATAGAAAATATAAAAGAGACAAAGGGATTAAAAAGAACTGAACAGATATTCAGGAAACTATGGGACACTATCAACATGTCTAATATTTTTATTATTCCAAGAGAGAGAAAAGAGATTGAAGAAAAAAATATTTGAAAAAATAATGACCAAAATCTGTCCAAATCTGGTTAAAGACAAAATTTACAGAGTCAAGAAGATAAGAAAACACCAAACAGGATAAACTAAAAGAAAACCATATCCAGACACATCATAAACTGCTGAAAACCAAAGATAAAGAAAAATTTGACAGCAGCCACAGAAAAACAATGTATTACATAGAGGGGCTCTTTAAAGTGCTAAAAAGTCTAAAAAGAAACAGTGTGCTTAAAATTACATGATTCTTTCAGAACTTCTAGGTCATTAAAGTCACATAATAATTTAAATTAGCCTAAAATCTGCCAAGCCACTGTATTTAAAATCTGGAATGCTACGCACCTGGATCGGGCAGCAGCTACACAATTTGGATGATTGTCAGGGATCACACCCTTGCCCATGGGGGTGGGCAAAAATGGCAATTTACATTGCTCCACCAATTTCCTGAGTCCCTCCTCTGCATGGGCATAAGCAGCACCTACAAGAAATGCAAATGTATTGGACAAGTCAGTTAAGCTACAGACACTGACCCTTAAAACAGTTCATGTGAGACGCCTTTTATTATTATTATTTTTTTAATATATATCTTTATTGATTTCAGAGAGAGGAAGGGAGAGGGAGAGAGAGAGAGAAACATCAATGATGATGTTCCTCCTGCACGCCCCCGACTGGGCCCGCAACCCGGGTATGAGCCCTGACCGGAAATCGAACCTTGATCTCCTGGATTTTACGTCGATGCTCAATCGCTGAGCCATGCCTGGCCAGGCGAGACTCCTTTTAGAACTTGTCAAATATTCTCCTGCTTGTATAAGGCTTAAACTCAAAATAAATGACTATGGTTCCTATCTTTGGTATTTAAAAATGTTTAAGAAAGCAATAGTTCTGCCCTGGCTAGTGTCACTCAGTTGGATGGAGTGTCATCCTGTGCACTGAAGGGTCATGGGTTCGATTCCTGGTCAGGGCACATACCTAGGTTGTGGGTTCGATCCCTGGACGGGGAGCATACAGGAGGCTACCAATCAATGTTTCTCATATCAATGTTTCTTTCTCTTTCTCTCTCCTCCTCCTTCCTTTCCTCTCCCTCTCCCTTAATCTCTCTAAAATCAATAGAAACATATCCTCATGGAGGATTTTTTTAAAAAAAAGCAATAGTCCTAGTTTCTCCTCCACTAATATTCTCAATATTTCCAAAGGATGCTACCTCATAACAAAAGTTGCATCTCACGTCTCTTGCTGCTCTCAATTGCCCGTTCTATGCTACAGTTCTGCTGAATTACTAATCACAATTCCCTGAACATACTCTTTACTGGTAGGCTCAGGTAGGCAAGGAAGGACTCTGCCCTCCCAGGGGCAGGCTCTGTCTAACCTCACACGTTGCTCTCTGCCACCAGCTAACCTGGGCTGCGACGTCCTCGAGTAGGCATGGAAATTCTAACAAGGGGCATATGTTTCTAAAGCTCTGTAGATCTCTTCATAGACTCAGTGTTGTGACTGCAACAGGGCTGACCCAAGTGGGTCGCATATTTGTGTTTACAGTTTGTGCCTGCAGAATAACCGGATGCCCCGTTTCGATGACACTCGAGACACCTCACTGTTAGAATAAGAGGGATGATTTCATTTCCGATGTCATCGAGGCCACTATATCTCTTTTTAGCTCTTTAGTTTTAGACTCTTTCTCAGGGCTAGTAAAATATTATTCCATATTCAGAATTTAGTTTTCTACTGAATCCCAGCAAAGAGTGTGGTGTACATCCAGATTCAATATAATGTTGCCTCATGAAACTGCCTTAGACAAACCTTTTCTCATACATGTAGAATGAAAAGTCGCTCCTTTTTCTCATCCAGAAAGTTTCCGTGTAGTCTCCTTCTTACCGCAGTATCTTTGCCCACCCAGTTCTCTCTTCCCAAACTGCCTTGGCCCTTTGCCCACTAAGTGACCTATTGCACATTTTTGGAAGGCGTAACCTCAGTGTCATCTCTTCTGGGTATTCTGCCCACAACTAGCTACATGAGCAAATTGCTGCTTCCCTTGAGAATCCACCTCACTTTTCCATACACACTACTTAAGAATATACTGCACTAATTTGTTACCAGGTCTAACTATCTACAGGTAAGGGGACCATTATTTCTCCGTACACCTCAAAAACGTCTGTACTCCCTACCTTATAACTGCTCACTAAATACTGGTTAAAGAAAGAATGAAAACTAGCAGCCGCTAAACTCTTTCTACTTATTGTGTTATTTAGTTATAACACTACTGCTGAGGTAGTTAATATCTCCTTTACAAGGGAGGTACTTGAGACTCAAAGCAGTTGTTTGCCAAGAGCAGAGAGCTAATACATCGTATAGCTGCGTTCAACTCAGCTCTGACTTCAGTTTTTTTCTGTTGTCCATCATTTCCATTAAAACAATTTTTAGTTTCTATGTAGTTAGTCCCTTAGTAATTGACAACTGACTCACATGGTCATAAGTGACTCACAGCCTCCTCAGTTCTAGAACATAGAATGGATACTATAATAAATTGCCGAAAGGAGTATAAATTGGTACAATATCTTGGAAGAAAGCAATTTGACAATATGCACCAAAAGCCTTAAAATATGACTACCTTTTAACTTAATTTCTTTCTGGGACTCTGTCTTATATCCTAAATATGGAAAAAGCTTTAAGCACAAACATGTTTGTCACAGCTATTCTCAACAAACAGAAACTGGCAAAGATTTAAATATTTGCCAGTAAAGTCTTACTATATACATGAGTAGACATTAAAAATTAAATTTAGGGGGGAAAAATTAAGACCATGAAAAAAATGTTGCTAAGTGAATTAAGTAGAATATAAAACTGTCTATGTAGTATGATCACAATATAATGAAATATATATGCCAAAAGCAATAGAAAAGTACTACTTGTTTAAAATGGTTTCTCTTGGATGAAGGGATTTCTTTCTAATCTTTTGGATTTTTCCAAAATTTTTTATAATAGGAAAAAGATGTATTTTACTCATAAAACCAAAGAAATGCAATACGTGATATTCCCTCAAAAAGGACAAGCAAGAACGGGCAATCTAGAACTATTCTATGATTTCAAAACTAATAAATACTATATTGGATGAAGAGAACTCTTATCCTAATTTCAAACATTAGAGTAGATGTTAATAATGAAGACAACTGCTAAACAGAATCAGCATTCTTTTGAAAGCCTAGCAAGATTTAGAGTTTCATCCACTGCTACCTTTCCCGATGATAAGAAGGGGCTGTTTGGCATTTCTGATGACAGATGCTGCCTTCTGTATGGCAGAAATTTCTGCCATACTAACTGGAGGTGGCAAGCAGCACTCCACGTACCTGGAAATAAAGAGCTATGTTAATTAAAAGAGACGAACTTTCAAATTTATTGTGAAAATATTTTAGTACCACAATATGCATAAGTAAAAGAAATATTAAAACTGTATAGCTAAGTATTTCTGGACACCAAGTCCTCAGTGTTGTATTTCATTTATTCTAATTAATAAACACCATATTGTTCAAAAATTGGGCATTATAATACCAAATATTCAGATCTTTACAGAATTGTATTTTGAGTATCATATTCAGGTATTATGCAGAACAGATGTCCTTTTGCTCTGACTCCAATAGAAACCACTCCTTGGAATAGTGAGTATACAGAAATACCCATTTTCTCTCTGCAGTCTCTAGAGGGCCACTTGGCTCATGATAGCAGGAATGTACTACGTGGTCCCCAGGGTGATGCATTAACCCAAGGTCACATCCTTACCAGGGGTGACTTAGATACCAATGAAAAATGTTTCTTATCCTGACTGTTCACTCAGTGTTTATTTAAGGAATACCCATCTGGTGTTGGAATATTTTTAAATCCACTGAGACAGACTAAGAATTTTTATGTTGAGTTCTAATAATTTTCAACAGTCTCCTCATCTCTTGGTTCACACTATAAAGATTCGAAAGTCATACTACATTAATGAGAATGTATTATCTATGGGTACTGAAAGAATAATTTCAAATGAGGAATTCAGGAAGCTCTAAGTATTTGATTTAGTAATTAAACCCCAAAATAATTACTAAATAATACCATTTTAATTCAGAGAAACCCTTTGGCTAGGATTCAGTTTATTTACTAAATCGTCAAAAGTTAAGACAAATGAAGATTAACTTATAAACTGCTAAGTAAATTTTATTAAAGGTAAGCATTATAATAACACATTTAAGAAAAAAATCTAGCATAACTATTACTCACTTTATAGAATTCACATTCACTTGCAGGTTCACAAAATCTGCAGGTATGTCAACATAGCAAGCACCTGGACGACCATAAATACTGCTTCTCACAGCCTAAATTTATTACAAATAGAAGAAAATGTTTTAAAACTCTCAATCCTTATTATCATATTCCACTCAAAGAAAACTTAAAATTGTAAAATAAACAGTTTTAATTTTTCTGGACATCCTTAGTTGGAGAAGTAAACTTTTAATTAAATTTGAAGTACCCTCTATTATTTCTATATACAGTTGACCCTTAAACAATGCAGGGGTTGGGGCACCAATCCCCCATGTAATAAAAAAGTATAATTTTTGAGTCTCCCAAAACTTAACTACTAAATAGCCTACTTTTGACCTTATCAATAACATAAACAGTCAATTGACCCATATTTTGCATGGTATCTATATTACATATTGTATTCTTCAATAAAATAAGCTAGAAAAAATGTCCTTGGGAAAATCATAAGAAAGAGAAAATACATTTACAGCACTGTATGTATTTATTGAAAAAAATGCACATACAAGTAAACCAGTGCAGTTCAAACCCGTGTTGTTCAAGGGTCAAGTGTATTTTAAGAGATTTTTGTTTAAAAGGAGATAAGAAAGTACCTACTCACTTAGAGCTTTAAAATTCACATTCTATCCTACTTTAGTCTTAGAAATTATCCACTAGGCTCTGCCAGTCAAGTCTTCATAACATGCACTTACACCTGCTTCCTAATCCTGACTTGGCAGTTTTCAGAAATTGTGATGTTCTAACATGTGTCAAATGATTTCTATAACACATGGTTTTGAAAAAGCTCATATGTAACTTCACATATAAATTTATTTAGTTGGTTAACTAAAATTATACTATGCTGTTTAATCAGCTAAGAAAAGGTTTTATATGCATTAGTACTAATTTCCAAAAAACAATCTTTTGCAAAAGCATAAGAGAAAAAGGCACTCAGGGTTCCATTATATCTTTCTTTTTACTTTTCCATAATTAAAAGCAATTTTAAAAACTAAAGTACAGGAGAAACCTTTTCTTCAAAATGACTTATTTTATCTGTTTCTATAATTAAATATAATGGCAGTGGACATTAAAATGTATACAGCTCTTTCACAGTATCATTTTTAACTATCTGAATATGTTCCAAATTGTTACTCACTCAATTCAGAATAAAAGTGACACAGATATGAACAACTGAGAAAAACCAGTTGACTCAGAGGGCTTGTAATTAAATACTGTACCTTTTCGATAACAGATGGAATAGCTTCTACGCTGCTTGGCCGGACAGAGAACTTGCTATATAACCTACAAGCTTCAACCTATATGCAAAAATAAAATCACTTAAAATTCAGCTCACAGATCATATTACTCTTCTGAAGGAAGACAAAATGTTAAGTCATTACTTTCTATTGTGTTCTGAGGCAAGATGGAGAAATGCATTTTCTAGACTGTTTCTTAAAAGCCTATTTAAAGCACAATCAAATTTCTGCCTCAGTATGATTCAGGAAACAAATCAAAAGAAGACACCATTTTCATTTCTCAGATTGGCAAAAATGAAAAACTTAGATAATACAAAGCATCCAGCACAACACAGAAAAACAGGCACTCACTGCTGGTGAGAGTATAAATGGGAAGGGAACTTGACAATGTCTTATAAAAATTAAAATGAGTATATCCTTGGAACCAGAAATTCCACAGCCCGGAATACACAACTTCCTCTGTTACATCTCAGTACAATAATAATATATTCTTACATTTCTGACAGTTTTCCTGTAAAATATTTTATTGTTATATTTTTGGGGTCATGTAAATTCAGTAGTGTTAATTTTTCACTGTTTAATGTACTTTGAAGCATTACATAGAAACTGTTTCTTTTGATACTTTTTGGTATGAAATATATGGAACAACTGGTAATTTTATTCCCACAAGCATGATAGGATTAAGATTACTTCCCAATTTTCTGTCTGTTCATAGTCATGTCATTTAGTTTTAAGTATTTCCACAAGAAGATAGTTGGATCTTTCTATTCCAACTTTTAATTGTATCTAATAAACTTCATTATTTTCCTTTTGGGAAAAATATTTGTAATGGACATTATCCTCAAATATAACATTTTCTTTTCTTTCTTTTTTTAACATATATCTTTATTGATTTCAGAGAGAGGAAAGGAGAGGGAGAGACAGAGATAGAAACATCAATGATGAGAGAGTCATTGATCGAGCCCACAACCCGGGCATGTGCCCTGACCGGGAATCAAACCCCAATCGCCTGGATCCTAGGCCGATGCTCAACCACTGAGCCACACCCGGCCGGGCACATTTTCATTAGTTGTATACAATTAGTTGTATATGATTAGTTTCAATCATACACAAAATTATATGTTGATATTTTGAAATTCTCACAATGATTCCTGATTTATCAACACACTTGACCTAATAGTTTTAACTCTGTGCTGTAAATGCTCAAATATATCCATATTTTAAGTGTTAATTATCTTTCACTTTCACCTATTTGCTTTCTACAATTATTCTTAAAACTGTAGCATTCGCTGACAAATTCTTTCAAGTTTTTAAAAATTTTCAAAAACTTTCCTTTAGCCTCCCAGATAAAAATGAACTTGTCCAAAGTCTACTAGTAGTCATTTTGAATAGGATTTTTCCTCTCAGTGTTTTACTTCCCCAAAGTCTGAGAGGCATGGTCCAAAATCATTTTCATTCCTGTCTTATTTTGATTCTTTGAAGAACATATTTTTAGAGTTTAAAAGCCTGACCAAAAGGTGTATTTCTCAGAAGACTGCTCCTAGCAGAGTCTAAACTTTCTTAATATCCACACTGAAATTGTCTTGTAGTTCAGGAATTTTACCTTTAAATTACCTTAGGTAACTCTCTTTCATTTTGTTTATTTTGTAGACAGGACTTTTTATTTCTTCTCCATAAATCTTTTTTTTTTTTTTTTTAATATATCTTTATTGATTTCAGAGAGAGGGAAGGAAAGGGAGAGAGAGAGATAGAAACATCAATGATGAGAGAGTCATTGATCGAGCCCACAAGCTGGGCATGTGCCCTGACTGGGAATCGAACCCTGATCGCCTGGATCCCAGGTCAACGCTCAACCGCTGAGCCACGCCCGGCCGGGCTTGCATTTATTTATTTAAAATTTATAGTTGACATACAGTATTCTCCTCCATAAATCTTAGTAGTGTATAATTATGCTACTAAACTCTAGAGGAAAATCTTAGAGTTGGGTACCTGAGGAAACTCCTGGAAGGCTCCCATTGTTTCCTGACTTCTTTCAGAGGAACCACCAATCACAATCAAGGGCCTGAAATATTCATTTTTAAAAGAGAATTACAAATTACATCAACTTGTAAAATATTCAGCAGAGGGGCCAATGAATAATAAACACTCAATGAATATTAAAAAAAATAGATCGAATGAGAATTTCATTTTCCCTTAAAAACTGTAGATTTTTTAAAAATTAGGAAAAAACCTGATGTCAGAGAACGCTTCCTCAATTTCAGAAAAATCTGAAATTTATAGTTAATTTTTTTCCTCCGTGCCCCTCTCCTCCACCCCTTTTGGATGCTATGCTAAACCTCTAGGTGTGGCGACGTACAGTAAATCTTTATGCCCTTCCTATTATTCTTGGGATTAAGAGGAGAAAATCTGTCACTTTCCTAAGTGAGTCTACTTGAAAACGGCAGAATGAGAGCAATTCCTCAGCAATAACATTCTTATTGTTCAAGAAGGAAAAAAAGACAATATAACAAAGCTAAAGTTACTCAAAAATATCAGACCCAAAAGTAAATAAGAAAGAGAAAGGGAGGAAGAAAGGGTAGATATAACTATAAGAAACAGGGCAAGAAAGAAAACAATGTCCTTCCCAAGAGGGAGATTAAACACTTTATGAACTGATGAAAAGATAACCCTCTTTAACATGACCTTATTGGTAAAGTACCAGAGATGGGGTTTAGGACAAGATCAAAGAGTAAGCACTAAGCGGCTTATAAAACAAACTCAATAAATACGAGAATTTCAATTGTTGCTAATTATGTAACAAAAGATGAAGAATTAATTACATTCTTGTATACTGATCTGGGATCTTTCACACACATTCAAATACAAAACAGATATACATATACAGGAGTGAGCAAAAGTAGGGTTTTTTTGCCACTGAGACATTCTTTTGAGTTAATAAAGCTATTGTAATATTCATAACCTGCATGTCTTTTTCCATACGAACAACTGGAAACTTACTTTTTGCACACATCTGTATATGTGTGTGCATTCAGTGTTTATCTCTAGGTACAGGAATTACCGATAGTTTTTAAATTTTCTTCCTAATACTCTTCTTATTTTTTTACTAAACAATTCTCTTAAGCACTTGATTCCAAGTCTTCCCACCCCAGATCAGCAGTTGCTCCACCAGGTAAAATCATGCATTGACCTCTTTAAGAAAATGTTTTCAATAATAACAATCTAATTACCAACAGTTCATGTTTGCATTTGCCATACCACCCAAGGCGTGCAGGAGACCTGGGCCAGAAACAACAAGGCATACTCCCGGCCTAAAAGCAAAACAATTTATTTTATTAAAAGCAGGTCAAATACAATACTTCATTCATATCACTTAGGGTGAAACATAGTAACCTTCTTGGACTTCAAAGGAAGGGAAAAAAAGACAAAGATATTAGTCTTCTTGCAAGAAATAAGGTAACTACCATCTTCACATTGTATCTCACTAATCTCTTCATAGTTTGCTCCTATTATACAGGGTGTCCAAAAAAATGTGTACACACTTTGAATAATTATTAATTCCAATGGGTTAAATCTGACAAGAAAGAAACATCAATTGAGCTATCAGCTGTTAAGGGTGTATACATTTTTGGGGAACACCCTATATTTAGCTAAATCATGATGACTGCATACAGAAGCAACATTTTGATTGCTGAGTACATTTTTGAATGAAAAAAACGTGGTTTTTACATTTTTTCTTAAAACGTAAATATGTCAATTGATCTTTGACAGCAAGTAATTCAGAAATGTAGTGTTCTGCCCAAATTTTTAAAACTGAACTTGAATGCTTTACCCTAAACGACATTCTAAGCTTAAAACATCAAGGAAAAAGGTATCTTCATATAATTCAGTTTGTCATTTTACATTTATAAGTATTTTCTTAGGAACCTCTGGTTAAGACAGTCTTTAAAAGAAATTGAAGTAAAACATATACTTTAGTTTACCTGCCTGTCAGATATCCAACCGCAGAGGCAGCATAACAAGCCTACAAAGAAAAAACACTGGGACTTGAGCATATTGGGATCCTTATAGTAAGTGCACATATAATAATTTACTCTTAAGTAAGAGACTAGAACTTAATTGTAAAGGAGGAATTGGAACACCTTCCATTTTAACACATAATGTTCTACCATAAATTTCAAATAATAGTTTAGATACTGAATCTAGTTTTTAGTATTTCAAGGAATTTGTCCATGTGACTTAGTTTACAAATAATATCCTCTTACAATTGCTTAAATATCTTCAGGATCAATAGGAACGTCCTCTTTTTTATTCCTAATATTGGTAATTTGTGCTTTTTCTCTTTTCTTCCTCATCAGTCTTGCTAGGGATTTATCAAATTTATTAATCTTTTCAAAGAATCAATTTTTGGCTTCATTGATTTTTCTCTATTCATTTGTTTTCTTTTTTATTTATCTTTGCTTACATTTATTATTTTGCTCCTTTAATTTTGTGTTTAATTTGGTTTCCTTTTTCTAGCTTCTTAAAATATAAACTTAGAGCACTGGTTGTTGATCTTCTTTACTAATAGATTCATTTGAAACTATTTCCTATATGAACTGCTTTCGCTGTCACAAGTTTGGTATCTCATTTTTTTCATTATCATTCAAATTTCATCATCATTCAATTCAAAATATTTTCTAATTTTCCATTGTGATTTTTTTCTTCAATACATTGGTCCATATGATGTCTCCTTTTTCATTCCTGATATTAGTAATTTGTATTTTTTTCTCTTATATTCTTGATCCATCTACCCTTAAGTTTATTGATTTTATTAATGTTTTCTCAAATATTTACAAAGTATTAAATGTGTTATTTAATTTTCAAATGTTTGGGGATTTTCTAGTTATCTTTCTGTTACATACTGAATTCTAGTTTATTTCCACATGGTCAGGTTACATATACTGTCTGGTTTCCGTCCTTGGGGATTTGTTGAGATTTCCTTGATGGCCTACATATGATTAGTTTTTACTTTTAAACTGTATTTCAGCTCATAATAAGAAGAAAGAGAAGGTGCTAAATTAAATTCTTCTTAGTCTGGGACACAATTTTTTCCAGTATTATTTCTTCTCTTTTTTGGAGGGAAATAATAATTGGGTATTTTCTAAACTCCATTCAACTTTATATGTGATATATTGAACTTAAGTAAATCCACGTTAAGGACATAAGTGTAAAAAATTAAAAATAAAATTATAATGGTCCTGGCTGGGTAGCTCAGTTGGTTAGAGCATCATCCCCATACACTAAGGTTGCAGGTTTGATCCCCAGTCAAAGAGATGCAATGAAGAAAATAAAATATCTGTTGCAATAAGAACACTTCTTTGGACACTGGG